ACAAATTCTATTTTAGACATGAAAAATGATTTATATTGCAACACAAGATTATTTTTGAATATGATAATTTATTTTAAAAATACTAATATTTAATTCATAAATAAATATGATAAATAATAAATTAAAAGAATTAAAATATTTTTATCAAAAAATAACTCCTAAGGCTAAAAATACTCATAAAAAAATCTATTCAGCTTTAATATATAAGAATTAATTAAAGTTCTTATATATAGTTGAAATAATAAGTATAAAATTTTTATTGTCATCATTGTAATTTCAATCTATAACTAAAATAAAAAATTGATTAGAGACATATTTATTGAGATGAGATGAATCATATATATATATATATACTATTTGGACCAAAAATTAATTTATTCTTTTTAATTTTTATGTCTATAATAAAATTTTATTTAAAAAATTTATTATTGTATTTGGGGAAAAAATTTTCCGCTCAAACAGATTTTCTTTCTTTTTTTTTTCTCTTAATTTTTTTTTAAAAACATCTTATCTTAAAACAATAACTTTTCTTTTCTTTTTAATTTTTAATAAAACATATTTTGGATTCAATATATATATATATATATATATATATATATATATATATATATATATATATATATATATATATATATATATATATATATATATATATATATATATATATATATATATATATATATATATATATATATATATATATATATATATATATATATATATATATATATATATATATATATATATATATATATATATATATATATATATATATATATATATATATATATATATATATATATATATATATATATATATATATATATATATATATATATATATATATATATATATATATATATATATATATATATATATATATATATATATATATATATATATATATATATATATATATATATATATATATATATATATATATATATATATATATATATATATATATATATATATATATATATATATATATATATATATATATATATATATATATATATATATATATATATATATATATATATATATATATATATATATATATTGTTTCTGTATACAAATTTTAAATGGTAGTTATTTTAAAATAGAAAGAATAATTCAAAATATAATAATTAATATTTTATTAGAAATTAAAATAATATTTTAAAATTTATTTTTTCTTTTGATACAATGCGAGAAAAAGAATAAGGAAAATAGAACTGTACCAAGTACTAAATATAGATACATGATACCACTCTAGTGAAATATTAATTATTTGAAAATAAAGCAACACGACATGCAAAATAGAAAAGGATAACATAATTAATTAACACTGACTTAGTTGTAATCAGGATTAGCCAGAAGGAAATCCTCAAGGGTCTTGAAGAAGAGAAGTGTTTTGTCCTTATTAAACTTCAAATTTTTTTCATCGTATATTTCATTGTCTTTGGTATAGAATTTTATTATCTTCTTCACAATGCATCCTCCATCTTCCCTTTCAACCACTTTGAGATCATTATAGATCTTCTCCAATTGGTTCCCCAATATCATTCCTTCAATCACAGTATACTTGAACTCAAACTTTGCTTTATCAATCGCGTCTACTTGGCTCATCCAATATCCTGCAATACTCGAGTTAAAATAGTAACTAATTAACAATTAAAATTATTTTTAATAATTATATGAATAACTAAAGAATGTTTTCTTTATGAATCATTAGAGTCGTCCCAAAAATGAGAGGTTGAAATAATATATATAGAAAGTTTAAATATATTTTAAAATTTTTAACTTTAAGATAAATATATTTTTATTTTTTAAATTTAAAATTAATATTTTTAGTCTTTGTAATTTAAAAAAAAAATACTTTAGTCTTTATATTTAAATTTCGTTGAAAAGTTTATCAAATATTATCGCCTAAAATTTATCTATTGATGTTTTTATTAGTGAAAAGATCATATTAAACTCAACTGATATTACATCATTATCTCAATCTATCATTTTCAAACATGTTATTGATGATCTAAAAGATTAAAATAATTTTTTTTTTAAATTATGGGAAGAATAAGTTTAGAAGGAGAATATATCTTAATTAATTAGCATTTACCTTTAAGAAGAGTAAGCTTGCAAATGGTTCCTGGCCCTCCATCTCCTTCAGTGAATTCAACGCTCTTAATGATTTTTGGCATTGCTTTTGGCCACAGAGTGACACAATCTTCAACAACGGCTTTGTAAAATTTTGCAGCGGAGATGGGGGAAACGTGCTCGACTTCACAAGTGAAAACACCCATTATTTTCTCACCTTAACTATATATCTTTTTCTCTCTTTGGCTCACTTCGTGGATTTTCCTGTGAGCCTTGTCGTTAATTTATAGGCGCTCTAGGTTACTACATGCTTGCTACTGTGATGTTGCCCCCACAACACCAAACTTTCATTAATTTTTAATAATTAATTTTTGACAAATCGATCAAAGGAATTACAATAGATCTTTCTAGATCTATGGCCGTTGAATATATTTAATTATTTATTATTTATACTTTATTATTTTGTTTATTTAATACATTGGGGATAACTGTAGTATACGAAACTCCTTTTAACCAGCAAAAATTACCATATGCTGATAAAATTATTCTTCGGTCTACTGTGTTAGGAAATATCTATTGCATGACAATCACCAAACATCGAGGTAATCTGTTTTCCTTGTCCACCAAATTATAATATTTATTGTTGGGATGCAAGCAAAGTCTCACATCGTTCAAATAAGAGGATGAACATGAGTTTATATATACACAGTTGTCTCTATTGGTAGAGAGGCCTTTTGGGTGATGTCCAAAAGCAAAACTGTGAGGGCTTAGGTCCAAAGTGGACAATATCACACCAATGCGGAGACATGAGTATATACTCATGACCTGATGGCTTCCCTTGAAAAAGGGGTAAAACCATGGTCCTCTATTTGAGGGGAGGATTGTTGGGATGCAAGTAAAGTCTCACATCATTCAAACAAGATGTGGATATGTGTTTATAAACACACAATTGTTTATCTCACCAATAGTCCTCTATTTGAGGGGAGTTATAAACACACAATTGTTTATCTCACCAATAGTCCTCTATTTGAGGGGAGGATTGTTGGGATGCAAGCAAAGTCCCACATCATTCAAACAAGATGATGGACATGTGTTTATAAACACACAATTGTTTATCTCACCAATGTGGAGACATGTGTGTATGTGTGTTGTAACCTTCGGTGCTCAACAAGCTCTTGTGTCGAAATTCTTAAACGATGGATGGTTAGGAGGCGTGTCCCGCTGTCATGAAAGAGGTATGCGATAACTCCCGATACACATTTACATATGTAATTATATATTGTCTTTGTCCCCCTCCACTATTTTCCTGCAAATCAAATTTCCAGATGGTCTATGAATGAAGATTTTGTTTGGCTAGACATATATTTCTTTCTCTTTCAATATTTTTGTATGGTACATGTGGGAATGACTTATATATTGCTAATTGGTACAGCAAAAAACTTCTAACATTCATTTTATGTATAAAAACAAATATTTTTATTAATGTTTCTACCCATCCGGATTATGACCGACTTGATTTGATTGTCTTTATACAATCTTGTGTGCTCAAGATATAGGGGTTAGTGTGCTCAAGATATTGCAAAACTTATTCAAATCAAAATCAAATATACATAAAAATAATAGTGATTAAAAATTTATTAATATTTTATATTTAACTTATTTAATACCCAAAAATAGTCATGAATATATAATTAAAATAACAAAAGAATATTTAAATACAAATTAAAGTCAGTTCCGTCAATCTTCTCCATCATCTTTTAAACTCATTTATTAGTTAATTATTAATTTACTTTATTTTTTATTCTTATTTTACATTTGACAATTGAAATCCTTCTTTTTCGAATTCAATATCTTTAAGTGCCTATTATATCATAATAAATGAAATTTTAATGGCATTTAATATATTTTTAGTGACAATAAAAATGAATAAAAACTCTTATAATGATTGAAAAAATATATATAAATTTTTGTGACATTTTTATTAACATTTATAATGGTTATTAATATTATTTTTTAAATGTTTATAATTAATTATCAATTTTTCCTGTGGTACACTTAACAATTATTAAAATTGAATATCCAATACTTTTTTTAATATATTTATTATGTGAGAAAGTAAATAATAATAAATAGCATTAACTATGATTTTTAAAACTAATTTAATGTCATTTTTAACCCTTGTCCTCTCAATTTTTTTTCACTCCCAATCAAAATGATAATGAAACAGGTTTTAATCAAAACAATATTTTATATTAATTAATAAAATATTATATTATGTGACAATATTCAATATTTTTTAATAGAATTAAAAATTGAATATAAGAATTAAAATAAATAATTTTTTAAAATTATAAAAATTAAAAATATTGATTTTAAATTTAAAACAATAAAAAGAGTTATTTTAAATTTAAATGATTAAAAATATATAATCCAAAAAATACTTATGAATCAAATTATGAATTTATTTAAATATATGACTTTAATTTTAGTATTTAGGTGTTATAATTTAACTATTAAAATAATTAGTTTTACTTAGATAGAACAGTGTGCCTGGGCCATGGGTTCCATTCTCAAACCTATTCATACTCCCATTTTAACAAGTCACATCAAATTTGACCCCAATTTCAATTTCGCCGGCTTGTCAAAACTTGTTTTCTTTACCAAAATGGATTAATATAGGATAAATACAACTTCATATTTAATTCACATATTTTAATATAAACTTAAAATGTTATTGTTGATAACTGTACACACACAAAAATAGTTTTTTTTATTACCTATAATATAACCTATGTGTACACGGTCATTTAAATGAAGAAAATGAATACTGCATGACATTTATATATTATATCAAAACAGATATACTAAAATAAGAGAAAAAATTTGCATAAAAATATTTTAATAATTACTAATAATAATTAAATTTTCACAATACTATAAAATAAACTGCTACAGAAAATAAATTAAAAAAATTATCAAAATAAAAGGAAATTTTTGGATGAAAATATTTTAGTAATTAAAATAAAAAATGTATCAAAACAATTTTTTTTTCATAAAATAAAATATTTTAACGAAATAATATTTTATCAAAAATTCCTCCAGATATATCAAAATAAGTGAAAGAAAATGAATATTATTTATATATTATATCAAAACAAATATATAAAAATAATAAAAATAATTGGATAAAAATATTTTAATACTTATTAAAATATCATTTCATCATCAAATCTCAATCGTACATATATACCATTATCACACAATCAACATTATGTCATGCTCACGTCGTCGTTGTCGCATTACTCGATCAGCATCGTGTGTACTCATTGCTACACGCATCATATAACCAACATGATGTCATGCTCATGCCACCGCTGTCGCATTACGCGATCAGCGTCGTGCCATGCTGACATATGTGCTAATTGCTACACACATCCCACACTATACCATGCTCACCCTACCGCTGTAGTAGGTTATGCTCAACGCCATGCCACACATGCATTTGTGTCAAGACATCACACCTTAGTCCACAACTCAATTTCCACATCACACACACAATCAACATTTCCACTCAAAATAACAAGTCATCCACATAACTTGCACTACATCCTTACACACATCAATATCATTACCAAGCATGCATATGAATCAAACACCAATTTACATCATATATCATCCATATATGAGCCAACTCTACAACCTAGTATCATACTACTTTAAACAAATTTTCGATCCACGTGATAACACCTTAGAACATAAAACAACATACATCTCCCTTTGACAACTGTTAAAAAATAACATACAGAGAGTCATACTCATCCAAATAAGCTCAAACCTATCTCAAGAGAAATATAAGAGGATAATCTACAACTCTTATGAAGACATGAAAGTCTAAAAAAATCATTTACTTAGCTAAAAATTTTAAATATATTTCATGCTAACAGCTTGACCCCTGTTCACTAAAACATCCATAACTGGAGTTCTAGACCTTCTTTTTAGCTAATTTCAATGCCATTGGAAAGCTAACATCCAAGGATACAATCTTTACAAAGAAATCAAAGTCTAATTCAAAAAATACCAAACTGTTGAGCGCTTCCCAAACTGCTCAACGCTTCCCAAACTGCTCAGTGTTTTACCTTCAAGGACACTCTCTTGTTACGTGGCCCACGAAGGGCTCAACCCTTTCAAACGACTCAGCCGTTTGATGACAGCAGCCTCCACACCTGAAACTCAAAAAATTCAACATATAACCCCTAGAATTCATCCCCATAATTGTAGATTTTAGAGATTGTATTAATAATAAACTTTTAATCTATTTAAAATTTAATGATTCAACCAAAATTCAATGTTCTAGATTCCCTTACGAACCCTAACTCACATACCCCTTTCCAATGATTCAATCTCTCTCTCAAAACATCAATTTTAACAATTCTTCATATATTCATAATCATAAACACACATAGAATCTATTAATACCAATAATTTTCCAGACATAAACAATTATAAAATTATTAAAAATTCCAAGGTAAAAAATGAGAATCCCCCCCTTTCCCCCGTACCTCATGATGCGAATCTGATAGTCTTGGTGAAATTTGAGGCTATTCTTGAGTTTTCCTCCTCAAAGCTTCTGTATATCTTCTCTTTGCCTCTTACTCCTTCAGAATGTAAAAAATGAGAACTGATGGGGTTAGTCTACTAACCCTTCCTTTTCATTTCCTCGGGCTGGGTCAATCCAACCCAACTCAATTCTGACCCGTTTCTCCTTCCTTTCCAAAATAATTATTAAATAAATAATAATAATAATATAAAATATATTTCTCTTCAATAAAAATAATAATATCTTGTTAGAGTTATTTTATGATATTTGTTTGAGGGGATATTTTATAAGGTTATTAAATAAGCAATTTCACAATAATGAGATATTGTCCGTTTTGGGCCTAAACCATCACGGTTTAACTTTTGTTCATCACCCAAAAGGCCTATCAATTATTGGAGTATGTTTGTATTTTATAAGTCGTTATTTTTTCTCTTATTTTATCGATGTGGGACTTGTTTGTATCCCAACAAATCTCTACATCCCAAAAATATAATAAAAATATAATTTTATAAATAATATTATTTTTTGAAAAATAGGATGTTACATAATGTCTAATACTTTAAGTGAAATATTGTTAAAATCTGTTTCATTATTTTTTTGATTGGAAGTGAAAAAAAAAATAGATGGAAGGACAGGGTTAAAAATAACATAAAATTAGTTTTAAAAATCAAAGTTAAGCCTATTTATTATTGTTTACTCCCTTACACAATAAATATACTAAAAAAGGTATTGGAGAGTGAATTTTAATAATTGTTAAAGTGTGCCCAAGACACACAATAAAAAAAATCGATTAACTATTTATTGACTTTTTTTATTATTGTCACTGAAAGTTTAAGAAATTTTTTTCTTCTAATATATATACTTTTTTATTATCGCAGCTCTAATTGATGTAAGATTTACAAGGTGAGTGGTATGTAAATAGATGGTGGGTGTGATAGAAAAGAATG